GGAAATGACATGACAACATGCTGTGTTTACTATTGTGTAACATCAGGAATTGTTACATGTTTATGCGTAATCACCCTTTCCTTGGCAAGCTGGTTCTTTCTAATCTGAAATGCTATCACTATTATTTTGTTAAAATCATACTTAATTTTTACATATCAAAGATTATCAAGAGAATGTTAAATCAACCGGTTTTTCTTGATTGCATACTATTTGTATTTCATATATTCACAATAAAATTAATCAAAAGTGTTAGAATGCTGTTTTCTCCAGTGTATTGGCATCATTCTGGTGATTACCTTAATAATTGAATGATATTAACACAGGTCTTTACCTTCCAAGAAAGGGGGATATACAGCTCAGTGTATGGAAATTAAATAGAATGATACCATTATTTCCGGGCTGTTCATTCATGAATCCATCTGACACGTCCTGGCCTGTGTTCTGCAGGAGGGACTGAGTGTGTGGGGATGAATTAGACCCAATCCTTGCCCCTAGGGATTCCCAGCCCAGGAGTGTATAGTAAGAAACAAGCAATTTCAATTTTAAAAAGTTTAATTGTGGCCAGACAGGTTTCATTCCTTCAGGACGTCTTTCTTTGTCTCTGGCCCCCAGAGTGGTCCTTGGACTGTGCAGGCATGTGATTGGCTTACAGGGTTTCTTTGGCCAGTGGAGGCCCACGTTGTCGTTTTCCCTCCATGTTTCGTTCTATAAATGTCCGATCAGTTTACAGTAGGAACCTGCTTTCCCTTGTTTTTAAAGTTCCCTCCTTGTCCTTTCGGCAAGTCCCCAAAGGCAGTCCGAACTTGTGTGAGAGGGACTCAGTCCGGTGGGTGCGGGGATGGGGCTTCACACAGGAGGGGCCAGAGGCCTCTGGGCGGAGGGCAGAGCGCTGACTCTTCCCGTGCACGCGTGTTTGTAAGTGTGAGAAGTTGTAGTTGCACAGCAACCAATTCCTGCAGCACACAAAATAAAACTGCAACGGAAACAAAAAGTGACAGCACAAGAACTGGGTTTCCCACCACCTACTTCCCGGTCCTGGCCCTGGAGGCGCAGTTACTACAGAGTCCTGCTCCAGACATTCTGCCAGGTCCCCTCGCCAGTCTGTTTCTTTTGTTTCCAAAGCCGAGCCCTTTATTTCAGACAATGTCTACCTAAAAGTCTCAGTGGTGTATTAGAAGGGAGAGGCAAGTGGCCGGAGTGTGGGTGCTTCCACTTGGCTGGGGATGCCTTAGCAGGCCGCGTGGCTGCGGGCTGGGGAGCGGTGTGCGCTCCGTCCGGAGCCCACAGTGTCACATGAACTTAAAGAAATAAGAGCAGACAGTCTTTTCATAATATCAATAAGAACGTAGCTTATAGCAGAGGCACATTTTTAAGCGGGCTTCTGAGTGTGGGGCTCTGTGTGTGAGGAGTGGACTTTCTCTGGACTTCAGGTGTCACTGGCTGACTTCCGAGGCCTCAGTCAGTTGTCATCTGCCCTTCCTGACCAGGTTGAACTAAAAATAAATTCTTAGAGCACAATAGTTTTTATTCAAGCCATGGAGCCTTCACAAATATGTTAACCAGAACCCAGGCGTGGGGTAGGGGGTTGGCAAGCACCACATTAAATCATATACATCTTACTGTAGTCAGAAGCTCCTCTGCTGAACGGGTAGTATTTTCTTTCATAAGATTACTTTCAGAACATTCTCAGCTGAGCCCAGAAGGCACCGTAGAATCAGCGTTTGCAATTTTTAGCTACATGAATTCCTCATTTTGTTGTGCTTCAGAGATACTCCTTTGTTGTAGTTGTTATCTTAAAATTTGAAGGTTTGTGGAGCCCTGCCACAAAGGTGGTCACTCCTGGAAGGCTCAGATAATGGGTAGCAGATTTTAGCATGGAAGGATTTTTAATTGAGGTAAGTGCATTGGTTTTTTAGACATAATGCTATTGCATATTAATAGACTATAGAATAGTGTTTATATAACTTTTTTATATACCCTGGGAAACCAAAATCCTGCGTGACTCACTTTATTGCCATATTCACTTCATTGCAGTCGTCTGGAACTGAACCCATGATATCTCCAGGTATGCCTGTATAGATGATAATTTTATATCCTTACTCTAGTTGAGGTTTCAGGTTTCCAGTTTAAAGAATCACACAAAATGTATAATGGCTAAGAATGGAGTTGGCATGTAGCATTATCAAGAGCAACTTGATAGGATATTCATAGTAAATTTTAAAATTTAGTACTTGTTAACTGAGTCAGCCCATTTATCTGAATGTATCTCCTGGTAAAAATCAGTTATATACTGGGATATTTAGCCTGGTAATGTTTATTTCTGGCATTATTCATGAATTAAAGAAATAGGAAAGGAATGTCCAAAGTAGATGAAAGTTAGATAAATTTTGGCATGCGACTAGAGCCTTTACACATCAATAAGTAAGGTACTTGAAGATTGCTTGATACCATGAGGACTTATTTACAGAATTGCATTGGCTGTAAGAGAATGATATAAACTTCATGGTTTAATTTGTCAAAAATATGTATGTGTAAGTTTAATTTTTTTATTTTAACATTTTCCAAGTTTTATGCAGTTAACATATATTAACTGTTAACATTATGAAATATCTTTATCAAGATTATATTTATCAAGATTATTAAATCTTGATAAAATTGATAAAGAAAAATTATTCTGGTTAGGGTTTTTCTTTTTAAGCTATTTGTAATAACATTATATTTTAAAATGATTTCCTTCTTTCAGAATATGTGAGAATTCTAATAGAAGGATTAATTTCAAATATTGTCAATTTTTTTAAAATTCCATTTTGTGTCATCTATTTTTCTAGTTTTATTGAGATATAATTGATATGCAGTGTTGTATAAGTTGTACACAATAATAATTTATGTACATAAATAATAAAGTGATCTTCATAATAAGTTTTATTAGCTTCTGTCATCTAAAATGGTTACATCTATTTTACTCCTTTAAAAATATAGGAAGGAGAACATGGATGATAGCAATTCTTCCTTCAGTCCAGTGGAATTTTGCCCTCTCATTGGGCTTTTCGTAAATCTCGCTGTGGCCATCATAATTTACTTGGGTTATTCTTGTCTCTGGGGGGGCACCTTCAGTGCTCTCATTAGCTAGTCGGGCTGGGTGTGGTGATGTTGTTCCCAGGTTTATTTTCCATTTTAAGGCAAAATAGCTTATTATTTTCAAATTATATTAGATTTCCAGCAAAATCATTCAAAAGCCATAGGGAGATATTGATCTTTGTTAAGGTGTCATTCTGTGTGTGTGTGTTTATTTTTGAGTGCAGAAAACATTCATGAATTTGTAAAATTTTCACCTTTATTGTTGAAAGTATTACAGGTGTCCCCCTGTTTCCCCCACTGAACCCCTCTACCCTGATCCCACCACCTCCACAGGCCTTCACCACACTATTGTCTATTCATGGGCAATGCAATACTGGTATGCACCTAAGTTCTTCCCGCTGAAATTTGTCAGTCTGTTGCATGCTTCTGCATCTCTGGATCCTTTTTTTTTTTTGTCAGTTTATTTTGTTCTTTAGATTTCACATATAAGTAAGATCACATGGTTCTTGTCTTTCTCTGACTGGCTTAATTCGCTTAGCATAATACTCTCCTGATCCCTCCCTGCTGTCTCAAAGGGTAAAAAATCCTTCTTTTTTATAGGTATATAAGTATGTTTATTTGTAAAGTTCACTGTGGAGTAATTATAAATAAGGGACAGTGGCATGTGTATGTCTGCTGTATGAATGTGAATCAATAAAATATATTAATACACATCCTAGTGGTGATATCAAATACAAGACTCATGACCTGGCCAGTGTGGCTCAGTGAGTTGGAGCATCGTCCAGTGTACCAAAGGGTTTTGGGCTTGATTCCCCATTGGGACACACAAGCTTTGGGTTCAGTCCCGGGTTGGGTCATTTAAGGAAGGCAGTCAGTCGATGTTCTCTCTCACCTTGATCTTTTTCTTTTCCTTCTCCTCTCTCCAGAAAAATAATTAAAATAATATAGTAATAAAATACAAGACTCCTGTGTGGACACACGAGTGCATGCATGCATGCCTGCATGAGAGTGTGTGTGTGATAATTCATTGTGCTTGAAGTTAAAAATCAGGAAGGGGTAGTAGAAAAAGTTGCAAAATAACCCTTTTATTGAAGAGAATGTGCTTGTTCAAAAACACAACTTTCAGTGTTAGTTTTATATTTCTATTTAATGGGAAAGGGGCATGGAAATGACTGTAAAGACACTTTGTCTGAAGGAAGTCTAGCTGCAGCTAAGAGAGAGAATCTTTGTGAATGTGGTTCATCAGCGAGTGTGCAGCGCTGCTTCCCCCGTCCTGTGCCAGGTCCCGTGGTGACTGCTCCCCGGGCCAGACCACCAGGGACCCATCGGAACGGAGCTCACCAGGCTTAACCCTCTCTGATTCTTGCCAACTTTTCTCTCCCACTTGGGTCAGCTATTTTAGGGATATGATCTTCTTGCCATTATTAGCTTTTTTTCTTTTAAGCTAATTATCTACTTGGATATGTTTGTCTTTCTGAAGTATTTTATTCTCAATTGATTTCACAAGTTAAAATTAACTTGTGAAAAGATTGTATGAGTTATGGTACAGTAAATTATGGTGGAAGGGGAGAGAAAAATGTACAATCTGGGTAAAAATAAGAGAATCAAAATTAAGTACAGATTTTGCAATTTCATTGTGCAGATTAAAAGATAAGTTCTAGCTCCTTAAAGAATCCTTCGCAGTCTGAGCAGAGAGCTTTGCATCTAATCAAAGCTGTCAGACACTTTTCTACACGGTGGCACATTGCTAACATCGCACTGCTTGCATTCAGGCATTTAACTCCTGCTTTTAAGTAGCAGCGCAGCGTTAACGGTGAGCTTCCTGGGGAAAGGAAACGCAGTCATTCCTGCTGGCGCGGGGCCTTTGTGGGGTGGTCCCGGCAGCAGGCTCCCGCTCTGAGCCTCTGTGTGTTTTCTTTCAGCATGCCCCACGAGGAGCACCCCCACAGCCATCCGCTCTATGGACACGGCGTGTGCAAGTGGCCAGGCTGCGAAGCAGTGTGCGAAGACTTCCCATCGTTTCTGAAGTAAGAATGCTTTTACGCTGCTTTTCCTTTTCCGTAGCCATCCCCTCCCTGTCCCATGCTTTTCCTCCTATGATGCCTATTTGCTGGAGGGTGTCACATGACTGCTTTGAGAGGGACTGGACATCTCAGGGGCGGGCACACTATCTCGGGAATGGTGACAGCTTTGAGGGAGGCCTGCCCTGTCGAGAGCAAGGGGTGCACACGCCAGGGGCAGTGTGGTGCACTTATTAGGAAGAGCCTGTGTTCACCTCGTTTCCCACAATGATAGTGATTAAACACATTCTCCCAATATTCAACTTGCAGTTAGTTTTACTTTTATTCATGTCCCTACATGACAAATCAGTGACTGCTCATTAGCCTACTTTTCTAAAATTGGTGCCAGTTACTGGCCAGTGGCAGCTTGTTGATGGGGCCTCTTCTGTGTTTCCATACAAATGACTGTATACACACAAACAGGGGTACGTTGACAGCTTGATTCTTATCTTTCTATATGCTGTTGACTTTGGTTCCCATTCTTGTCCTTATGTGGAGAGTGCAGTAACTTTAATTTCTACAATTAAAGTATGACTAAAATTTGGGTTATCTCGTTTGAACCTGTAACACATGTCAAGTTCCTCTGGAAGTTATTGATGTGTCCACCTGAAATGAAATGCTTTGCACTGCAGCTTAATATTTCCCTTACCTGCTCTACATCATTGACATCTTGTAAGTATGTCGATAATATCATTGAGTCATTGATAAGTAGACTGAAAGTTAATACATTATGTTTAATATATTGCTATCCCATGGAACAATCAAAATATATGTGCAGATATATCTCCTCTGTGTCCAGGTGCATGATGGTTTACATACAGAGTGTTGAGGGCCTTCTCGCTGGCTCTTCTCTCTTGGTCACATCTTGGGAGACAGACAGGCTGATTTCCAGAGGTGTCTGCCTGCTCCTGTGTGGACTTTTTGTTGCTAGAACAATCTATCTTATGGACTTGGGTATAGATGTAACACTAAAGCCATCTTTGAGGGAGAGCTAGTGTTTCCTGAAAGACATTTTGGTGAATATCATGTTTTGATGCATGAATGGAAACCTGTGGATTTATTTCATAGCTTCCCAGATTTAATATTTCATTTTAACAGCACTATGTGTTCATTAAAAATGGAAGTATTCTCAGTTTCTTAGGAAGAGATGCCTATATGTTTCTGAATATCAAGTCAAGATCAGTGATATTTTATTTTAAATTAAGCAATCGCACTTTGCAATTATTATGATTCAAGCTAGTGCGATTGGGTTTTGTTCTCTCATGAATCACTCATTATAGAATCTTTTATTGTTTCCTGATCATTTGCCAATTCCTATTTAGGTATTAAGAGGAAAAGATCTTTGTAGAAAATCACTTTTTAAGTTCCATCTTGGTGCTGATTTCACTCATCTATAAAAAAACCAATGAACATCCATAGACAGGATTTATTTGTATAAAGTCTTTAGAACTGTAAAATTACTGTCAATAGTTTTGGTGACATGTTTCAATTTCAGAGTCACAAGAAAATGGGTAGTTTTCCAATTTGACCCATTAAAAAAATTTTGTTAATAGCCAAAAGTATTCCCATTCTAACCTGCAAATCGTAGGTCATTTATTATGTGAGCAGACAATTAGGGGATATACATGTACCTACATACATATGTATATGTATGTAATTATGCAAAAGGATACCTCCACAAGGAGACTGCACAATTTTAAACCACATCTAGTACTAAAGAAATGAATCATAAGATTATTAGGATTGATGCCTAGACTTGATATCTTAAAAAATAAATAAATAAAATAAAATAAAAACACAGCTCTCTGTTCACTGTATTCGGAGTCTGGCTCTTGTATGAGGGGTCCTGTCAGATCCAGTGTAAAACCAGTTCATGTCTGCTCAGTGGGATTGGAAAGCCCACCACCAACCTGCAACCTTAGCTTACTTTCCCGCCCTTATTTATAGACTTACTTTTGTTAGAAGGCTTTTGTGAAAGCTCTAGACCCTCAACTTAAATTGGCTCATGCCAAAGAAGTGGTGGGGGATTCTGGGTGATAATTGGTCTCCGTAACTAGGAAGTCCAGTGCTTTATAGCCACTTCCAGTATGGCTGGGTCCAGATGCCTGAACAAGGTCATTTGCGCTTTCATTCTTTGTCTATTAGCTCTATTTTCTTTTGTGCTGCCTTCATTCTCTCCAAGTGGAGCCAACCGAAGAAGGCAGATGGACAGGTTTATCAATCCCAGAGCGCATGTCTTTCCAGAAAAAGTCCTGAGCAGACAGTCATAGCTCATATTGAGCCACGCTCTGCTCAAAGCCAGTCAAGTGAGAGCCAGCCCTGCCCACCCCAGCACCGCAGGGTCGGGAAGGGGTGGGGAGACAATGAGTGTTGTGACCAGTGCAGGGAGAGGACTTGCACAGAGAGGAAAGCTTCATTCCCATGGAGCTTTCCTGCTGGCCAGCCATGCATGACAAACTCAGGATTTTAATTTTCTTCTGCAGCATGATGCTAGCTCTTGGAAATTCAGTTGTCTTCAGGTTTCAGTCTCTTGCCTGCTGCAGTGGAAAACTAGTCTCCTGCAGACCCGTAGCCCCACATCTCGATGCAGACCGAGGGAGCACAGGGCTTTAAAGGAAGCCAGCTTTCTTCCCAGTGAGCAGCTGGAAGAGCCACCAGCTTGGTTCAAATCACGTGGCCGCCTCAGGTGCTGTCCTGAGTCATTGCTGCTGGGAGTGATGTTCCAAGCACTTCTTCTCAAACGCCAGGTGTGTGGGGGCAGCACCCCGCTCCGGGCACGTTGTGTCCCTGCTCTTCCTTTCCTTGGAGGATTCGCGGGGCTGAGCTCTGGTACCCGTGGCGCTTGCACTCTCCCAGGCGCTCTGCTCTGCCCTGGATTGAGATGTTGCTTCATAGGTTTTCTTCACCGATGTTCTAATCTCCCGATTTTACACTCCCCTGGAAAGAGTTCGTCATTCAGTAGCCCTGAATGACAGGCACAATCACAAGTGCTTTCCGTGTTAGAACTCACTCACCCTCACACGCACCTCACAGTGATGCTGCTGAGGATTACTGTCAACTGACAGGCAGACCTTCAGTCACACAGCAAGTAAGAGGGGGTCAGGATCCAGCCCCAGGCCTTCTGGCTTCGTAGCATTTGCTCTGGACTGCACGGTAACATGTGCGTAGAAGCAGTGATTTTATTAACTAAATGCCTCCACTTACGGCCGAACAGTGCGCTTTATGACTGTATGCTTTCCACTTACAGAAAGCAAGCCGTGAAGAAAGGCTGACGGGGCAGTGCCGCCACTCCCTGCCAGTGTGATTGTGGTGTTTGTGCGGTTACATCGCATCTTCGGCCATGGTGGCAGCCTTAGTTTGGGGAGATGGTAGCAGGAAGCCCTCTCAGGGCTGTTAGATGCACATCACGTAGAGAGCCTGGCCCATACTCGCACTTTTAAAGAATATTAGTACTTCTTTTAAAGAATATTAGTACTTTTAAAGAATATTAGTACTTCTTTCCAGACATTCACACGTTTCTGACCTCCACCCCGGGGAGGGGTTGTGACTGTGCACAGCCTTGATGTGGCAGAAAAGCCTTTTCCTAGTGACTTTTAATCACTCGTTTCTGGTAAGAATCCCGCATGGTGGAGTGTGGTCTCGGGCAGGGGGCGGCCAGCGTGTTCTGCCAGGACCAGGCAGTAGCCATGAGAGGGCACAGCTCTCCCAGCCATGTGGGCAGAAGCAGCCGTGGCCACACGTGAGGGTGCCGTGGCCCTGGGACAGATTGCTGACCTCCGGCACGGTGAAACTTTGGCATCATCACATTTTTAGCTGAGAAATCTTTTTGCAGTTCCTTGGTCATTGCTGCCCAGTGTTATTTTCGTTTGAATTCACAGTTTATTCCTGTTTGGAGTGTCCATGCGTGCGTTGCCATTACTTCCTGCACCAGCAGCTGCCTCGGGCTGGGCTCCTGCCTTCCTGAGTCCCTGTGAGGGGAAAGTGACTTTGATGGTCACTGTTTTCTGCTCTGTTGCTAGGGTGCTACCATGTAACTTCTTGAGAGGCCAGGATCAGCTGTTCAAATCCCATCTGACAGTAAAATGCCACTGTGAACTGAGAGGGGTTAAGGAAAGGACTGGAGCCTAAAAGTGATATTATCTGTCCCTCCTGAAAAAGAAGTATTGTAACTGTTGGTAAATAAAAAGCAGAGATTTGACACTTTCTGTTTCCGGTTCTACAGTGTTTATTCCCGAGGTAAGGGCCACCAGGCTGGATTTCCAAGATAAACACTGCTCATCCCACCACTCTCCCTCCCGCTCACAGGCGCTTTATCAGAATCTGCAGACACCACCCCTCTGTTGTACGCACTTATTTCCCTGTTTTTTCTCAAAACAAGTTACAGTTTTAGTGTTGATTTTTAAAAATCTATCAACCATGAGTTACGCTGTGGCTGTCCTGTTTGTTAGAAATGACTGCGCCAGCAGGTGCCCGAACGCTAATGAAACCAGCAGCCGCCCGCCTGGCTGGCATCTGTGGACAGAAAAACAACAACAAGCCGGGGCGGGCGGGCTGGCGGGCGGGCGGGCGGGGCTCCGGCGCCCTGCTCCCCTGGGGCAGTTTGTTCCTTCCTTCCAGGCTGAGCACAGTCTTCACCAGTAAAACATGGATTTGTAATTCTCCCCCTTTTCTTTTTAAGAAGGGACTCCTACTTGGCAAGGTGGAGAGTGAATTTGAAGTTAAATCATAACCACATTTTCCTGTTTCCCACTTAGAATGTAAAATCAGGTGCAGACGCTAGTTTCACAAATACAGGTCCTCTTAAGTGCTTGGGGAAATATCCCCTTTTCCCTAGATTTTCTTTTAGGTGATCACTTGTATAGCACCTAATAAAAGTGTAATTTGTAGCCTTGCTTAGTATCTATTTGAAGTAAATTTTTGGTGGTTATTTTATTGTTTCCATTGTTTGGTTTTTTCTCCTGGGGAAA